CTCAACACTTTGATGCACTTGTCAACACTCTCACAACCCTTGGTGTTTCCCCCCTTTGGTGTCTAGACTCTCATGACTACAACACTTCCTCCCTTGATGATTAAAACACCCTTGATGGTATTACAATTACCCTCACCCTTTGTGAACTTAATCACCCCTTGGAGAATAAAGACCATCCCTTGGTGAACTTAACCACACCTTGGTGAGATAACCTCCATTGGAACACAATAGCTCCCAGCTACTTGACCACCTGAGATTAACCACACCCCTTGAGGAATAAAGAGCACTCCCTTGGTGAACTAAGTCACCCCTTGGTGAACCAAGTCACCCTTTGGTGAACTTGTCCACCCTTAGGTGAACTTCTCCACCCTTGGGCAATTAAGCCACACCTTGCTGTCTTGCTTCCCCTTCCCTTTAATAGACAAGCCTTTGGACCTTGGAGAAGGCTCCATCTTGTTCTCCCACATTCTGCCCTTGGATTCCAGACTTAGACCACAACTTGGGCAGACCAAAAGCTAGTCAATAATAGCTGCAAACTCAACCACCCTATCTAGAGCCATAGGGTAGGTACTCATTGAAACAAGTCAACCTTTGCTGCTACCTTGCATCCTAAATGTGAGCCATTTTTCCAACAATCTCCACCTTGGCGAACCATTTAATCACCCCGTGAACCATTGTTGACCTCTAGAACCTCTTCAACCTCTTTAGAAATCGTTCTAGTAATTTCCAAGAGCTCCACCATGGCAATACACCTCTTGCCTCAATGCACCTTTGGTGGAAGGTGTTCCTCCCAAGCCTAAACTTGAGTAACTTGGACCTCTTGTGCAGAAAAGAATTCCCCCATGCCAAATTCGTTGCTTCTCGCCTTCTTGGAACCTTGAATCATGGACTTCCTTTGATATGCAAAACACATACCAAACCTTTGTTCACTAAATCCCCTCTTAGCACTCCTTGCTCTTGGATTTAAGAACACCTTTCTTTTCATCTATGCACCTCTCCAACTTTCCCGTTTCATGCTCCCTGTAGCACTCCGAAACGTGGCTGGAACTTCTTGGTCCATCCATCCAAAACCTAGGGACGGTTTGATGGATTCCTTGGGCCCGGACCTTGCACTTGATGATGGCTCCACCTCAAGTAGAACCCCTTTGTGAGTTTGTTGTTGTTGCCCTCCTTCTTCAGCCCTTGTGTCAAGCTCCACCTCAAATGGAGACTCCTCCATGACCACCTTGGCAAGAAGTTTCCCTTCAACAACATCCTCCACATCATCCCTTGTCTTGACTTCACCTTTGTGGAATTTCCTCTCCACACTTTCTGTACCTTTGAAATCAAGCACCCTTGATGATGAACTTGCATGCAAGAAGAACTTGCTATGACTTCCTTGAGTACTCCTCTAGTCAACTTGTCTAGCACACTCCACTCCGCTTCTGTCATGGCTCTTGTCTTCTTCTCCTTGCCTCCCAAAACAATGCAGATATTTTTCTTGTGTAAGGGCTGACTTCATCCTCCATTTGCTGACAGCTTTGTGGTTGCCTCTGCTGCAGAGAACCGCTTCCACCTCCAGCTTCCTTCAGCTTCCTTGTCACCTGCCATCTTCAACACACTAGCAACTTGCTGCTCCAACACACAGCTCTGATACCACTTGTTGTGAATTGAGCACAAAACTCAACTCACCCTCCCTTAATGATCTTGTTGTTGATGGACTTTGTGACACACACAATGATGGATGAATCACACACACACTACACACTTGAGACAACAACCAAGCACAAAATGACACAAGCATTTAGAGGTTCAGCAATTGCCTACATCCTCTTGGTGATCCCCTTGAGAAATTCACTTCATGAAAGAATAAGTTACAACTTTGGTTTTACACAGAAAACCCCCTTAGAACTCTATTCTCCCCCCAAGCTCTCTTTCTCTCACACCCCTTGCTCAACACTTTGATGAACTTGTCAACACTCTCACAACCCTTGGTGTTTCCCCCCTTTGGTGTCTAGACTCTCATGACTACAACACTTCCTCCCTTGATGATTAAAACACCCTTGATGGTATTACAATTACCCTCACCCTTTGTGAACTTAATCACCCCTTGGAGAATAAAGACCATCCCTTGGTGAACTTAACCACACCTTGGTGAGATAACCTCCATTGGAACACAATAGCTCCCAGCTACTTGACCACCTGAGATTAACCACACCCCTTGAGGAATAAAGAGCACTCCCTTGGTGAACTAAGTCACCCCTTGGTGAACCAAGTCACCCTTTGGTGAACTTGTCCACCCTTAGGTGAACTTCTCCACCCTTGGGCAATTAAGCCACACCTTGTTGTCTTGCTTCCCCTTCCCTTTAATAGACAAGCCTTTGGACCTTGGAGAAGGCTCCATCTTGTTCTCCCACGTTCTGCCCTTGGATTCCAGACTTAGACCACAACTTGGGCAGACCAAAAGCTAGTCAATAATAGCTGCAAACTCAGCCACCCTATCTAGAGCCATAGGGTAGGTACTCATTGAAACAAGTCAACCTTTGCTGCTACCTTGCATCCTAAATGTGAGCCATTTTTCCAACAGTATCTTGTGCCTCCCACCCCAATTGTTGCTAGGGCTATAGCTGTGTAAAAGATTTCATGCTGTAGCTTGGAGGTGGGTTGGCATAGCTCTGGTTCCTTCACACAAGGTTGAGGCTTCAACGAGTTAAATAATGTCTCGGTTAACGCTAATAGAACAATGCCCTGCAAGCCAAGCCAAGCTAAGAGATGATTATTAAGATTGCAATATGATCATATATATATGTGGAGTTTTGACTATTTAGGGGGTCCATGTGATGCATAGTTATGTCTTTTAAGTCACTAGCGAGCTAGGCATTTATAAGCAATAATAATGCATCTTTTCACTCCAAGAAAGAATAATACTAGAATTATCACATTTAATTACGATTTTAACTAACCACATGACATGATATTAGAGTTTAAAGAATTGTTGTTGTGTCATACACGACTTCCCTTTTTAAACATTTTTATAATTTAACTTTTAAAACACGTATGTGCTACAACTATAGTGAAGCTCACATATATGTTGCATATCAAAGTCACATGATGTGCTCATACAATAATTCGTGCGGAAGTATATATGTAGAATTGTGGCTGTTTCGCGTACTTCTTCATTGATTTGGGAATTTAAAGATCCATCGATTGGGATTTGTTTCTGTTTTCTGTAAGATTACTACGTACTCAAATTGTGGCTGCTCATATTGATTTGACTTGCTGACTTCAATTCCATGTTTGGCTATGGAGCTTCTATTTCCTCAACTATGATATGTGGTGGATTTCAGATTGTTAATTAGTTGCATTTCTGTTATTTGGGTCATGTGGATGTTCTTTTGGTTGAGTATGTCTGTTGTTTATCCTCTATCTCTCCGATTTCAACAATTGGAGAATTACTATGTTCAAAGATTCAAGTTTTGTATTCACTTTTGATTGATAGTTATAGTAGCCGATGTTGTATATGTTGCTAGAATCCCAAATCAAATATAACGGGTCCTAATTTTATAAGAGAGGTAGTTATAGTACATATTGTTTTATTCAAATTGACTGTGTAATGTTAAGGGACTCACATTTTCTAATCACATTAGCTAATTAGATTATACATTTCTTGATGTGTCTTTTATATTAATCATTATGGCCAGTGGTTATAGTTAGAACATGTTAACGAAAGAGAAATAGAGAAATAGAGAGAGAATTAAGAAGAAGATGAACTTTTCTGTATTGTTTCTCATATAACTATACAATTACAGAGAGTTAAGCTTTATAAGGCTCTAACTGATTATAACAGCTTAGTAACTATTTCTATAACATCAATCAATAGGTGACACCTGTCACAATCCTAGTTCTACATAATCTAACATCCCCCGACAAGATCATGGGTGGAGAATCCAACCATGAGATTGGAACAATGTTTAAACCAAAGAAGCAGAAAAGCATTGAATTTTGCTGTAGTTGAAGCAGAGTAGACTACATTTTTGTTTTGTTTGGAGCACCAATCCAAAGCTTGAGACATAAGAGTACTGCTATAGTGAGCTGCATGTGAAGCATAACACAACAAAGTTGTCCAATTTGAGGAGAAAAACTTAACATGAAATAGGGATAACACTATTTTGCTATCCCCAGCCAATCAAGGTATGTCACGCGTGATAACTTTTTCATATGATAGCCTTTGATTGGTCGGGGATAGCAAAACAATACAATCTCCGTTTCATACAAGTTTTTCTGCAATTTGAGGCATATCAAAAAGAGTACCAACTCTATTCCATCATTTTGCTCCAATGAAGACATATGCCCAACCTAGTATTGTAACCATGGACAACTCAAAATCTGATATGCTCATTTGGCTTTGTGAAATTCACTCACCAATAGTAAAAAAAAATTTGATTTCAGCCGTTGACGTCAACATGTTCTGGCCACAACCCTAGGCGATTCTTGCTAGTGGGCTTGCCCAGGTTGGTGGGTCCCACCCTTTGCCCGGGCTGGACCTTCCGCACCGAAGGGATTTTTTGGGTCTTCTCTTTTTTTATTAAAAATTTTTAATATGAAAATTATTAATTTACTACTTATCTTTATTTAATGAATAGTTTTATTTATTAAAATTTAATTAATTAAGGGTATTTTGAATATTTTACCGTTCTATATATTAAAAAAAGAATATTTTACTGTTATTTGCCTATGTCATTATATTATGTGCTTTGACTTGTAGATAGGTGGTTTAAAGTTCGAGTCCCCATGATACTTTGAAAGTGTGTATTAGATAACCCAATCACCCATCCTAACTTAGCAACAACCAAAAAAAATATATAACTCGAAAATTTGTAATAAAATGCTTCAAAACATTCAAGTAAAAATAAAAGCAATAGAGGATGTAGGTCTAACTAATGGAAAACTTAGGAGAGTTTAAAGTAGTTTTAAGCATTCACTCCAACATCCAAATTCATCTTTTCACATTCTTTATATGGATTAACGAGTAGTTATTGTCTGCCTAGAAAATCAAAAGATACTGTTTACTCATAATTCCTCTCTAGTAGTAGACTCCAAGACACTTGCTTGATCTTAACTCTTAATTAGCAAACATAACCATCAACCATCAGAGCCTGAACTACCTTCTACTCCCTTACTAACATTCTGATGCTTGTACAACTTGGCACATAACAAGTAATAACCGAAATTCAGCACACCAATCACAACTACCATCCAGTACACATTGTCAAGCCTCCCTTGGTTTATATCATCCGGCAACCACCCTGTAACCCTCCGAACAAGACCAATCAGAGCCGTGCCCATGTAGAAAGCAATGCCTATTGTCATTGCAACCATTGCAGTCGCCGTGCCTCGAAGCGACGCTGGAAATTCTTGATAGCACAACTGAAGTTGCCCCGGAAAATGGAAGGCTTCACCAATGCCAACTAAGGCCAGCTGTGGGAATAACCACATAACCAACATTGGCAGCGTGGAGCTGTGGGCTGTTTTGAGACGCCTTGACTCCACTAATGCTGAAACAACCATGCTTATGATATTTAGGACATGGCCTATTCCTAGTCTTTGGAGGGGAGTCGGAGATTGATTGGTCAGTTTTTGCCATACGGGATATAGGAAGCGATCAATTATTGGGAGAGAGATGCAAGTAGATATTTGAACCAAGACTAGCAAAGATCCAACTGGGATTTTGAAATGTGACACGATGCGACGGTCTGTGGTTAGAGCTTGGAGGGTTGTTAAGCTGCCTTGGATTGCTATTGGGGTGCTTATAAATATACTGGATGACCACAAAGGGAAAATTCTAATGACAGTTTTGAGATCTTCTACTTGTTGGAATGTGCACAGGCTCCATGGCTTTGCAATTGAGCCATCAGGTTTCAAGTCGCCTTCAGTTTTCAGGGCTGCACCATTTAGAAAGCTGCAACAAGAGAGCAAAGTGAAATTGTCATTTCTTTTTCTTTTTATGAAGCTGCAACAATAAAAATGAAAAAAGGGTTTGCTAGGCCCTTCAGAATATGACTGTCAATGGTTTAGAGGAAAAGCACTGTCTGAGCTCCCAAACTCAACAAAGTTTTTAATACCCTTTCCTCTGCCTAATTAATTAGTCTCGCCCCGGCCTAAGCCTAGGCCTAGGCCAGGCCACCGCCCAGCAGGCCGGTGTGCTGCATGCCGAATAACAAGGCTGTTATGACATTACCATGACGTGGTCATGCCGTCATTATGATGATAATAATGGATAGAATATGACATGGAGAAAACGTTTCCTTCCTCTTTGACTCAGCACAAAGTGAACACTGCAGCTGCTCACCAAAGGTGTTTCAAACATCCCAAAGTGGCCAACTCATCGAGCAATAGAAGATAAATGTATCTTATACGTAAAATTGTGTCATTTAGTCAAAAGAAGCAAATTAAAAGTTGATTAAGCTTCAAGATCTTCTATCTTCAACTATATTTTCTTTTCCATCAGACAGAAAAGCTACCATCATCTCCAGTGCACTATACTATTTTCCTCCATCCAAAAGAAATAACGAAAATGAAACCGAGTATAAACTGTGAAGTACTTTTTCTTCCGCTTTGTTCTATAATGATTTGCTCCTACATCAAAATAAATAAATAAAGTACTGACTCTTCCATTTTTCTTAAGAAATAGGAA